TCCAAGTCCTCACACATACAAGTACTGATACTGGTCCAAGTCCTCACAGATACAAGTACTGATACCTCTCCAAGTCCTCACAGATACAAGTACTGATACTGGTCCAAGTCCTCACAGATACAAGTACTGATACTGGTCCAAGTCCTCACAGATACAAGTACTGATACCTCTCCAAGTCCTCACAGATACAGGTACTGATACTGGTCCAAGTCCTCACAGATACAAGTACTGATACATTCCAAGTCCTCACAGATACAAGTACTGATACTGGTCCAAGTCCTCACAGATACAAGTACTGATACTGGTCCAAGTCCTCACAGATACAAGTACTGATACACTCCAAGTCCTCACAGATACAGGTACTGATACATTCCAAGTCCTCACAGATACAAGTACTGATACCTCTCCAAGTCCTCACAGATACAGGTACTGATACCGGTCCAAGTCCTCACAGATAAAAGTACTGATACTGGTCCAAGTCCTCACAGATACAAGTACTGATACATTCCAAGTCCTCACAGATACAAGTACTGATACCTCTCCAAGTCCTCACAGATACAGGTACTGATACCGGTCCAAGTCCTTACAGATACAAGTACTGATACATTCCAGGACCTCACAGATACAAGTACTGATACTGGTCCAAGTCCTCACAGATACAAGTACTGATACTGGTCCAAGTCCTCACAGATACAAGTACTGATACTTGTCCAAGTCCTCACAGATACGAGTACTGATACATTTTTGTTTAGTGTCATGTGATAGTTTTTATAAAACAATACAGACTAATGATATCAGGACAGTGGTGGAGCGCCAGAGCCCGGTCCCAGCTGCAACCGCGGCAACCCTTGTAGTTCTCGTGAAAATGCCAAGTATCGGCACTGGTATCGGCACTGGTATCGGCACTGGTATCTGAACATCCCTAATCTGTTTGGTCTGAATGATCAAAGGTGAGCTGTGTGCAGAGATTTTTCAGCATCTGTGCGCGCAGTCCCGTCCACTTCTGACACTCAGTCCTGTTGAGGTTCTTCTTCTTATTATTATTATAAAGGATTTATATGGCGCCAACAGTGTGTGCAGCGCTGTACACTATAAGGAAGACAAGATGGTAAGGAGGGCCCTTATTGGTCTGGTCTTAACATGTTGTCCTTTCTCTCTTCCCACCCAGATACCAAGATGAACCTTTGGATTCCCCAACCTTCGTCTCGCCTTCTTTGTGCTCTGTGCACCACCTGTGCCGTTCTCCTCTCCATCATCATCATCCTCATCATCTCCTTCAGATGTAAGTGGGATACTTAGTACATTGTAGTCCCCGATGATGTATCACATCTACGCAACACTCAGATACCTCTGTAGGCTCCTCTGTGACCTCCCTGACGGGTCTGTGACTCACCAGCCTTCTGAATCTTTCCGCCTTATCTGATGTTTAGCAATGCGTGGCTTTGACTCCTCCTATCTCTCTGCCTAGTCATGTGGTTATTGGGTTTGGGCTCAGAGGTTTGGGAAACATTAGGAAGTCACTTACCCCTCCGGCCATGGCTCCTCTGGCTGGGCTCCTCCGATGTCTACACCCAGAAGGAGGACTCACTACTCACAAGTTCCATGCAGATTTGTGGAAATCAGAATTCAGCAATCGTGTAACGTGGACAAGGAAGCCTTGTAAAGACTTTGAGGTCCCTGGGAACCCCTAATTTACATCTCCGGGGACGTTCAATGATTGTAGAAATAATAAGAGATGAACGTATAAATAATTGATCTGACCTCCTCAGTGTAAAACCTGCGATTGGTGTTCAGGGACAACACTACATTGACTTTGATGTTCGGAGGGTTATAAAACATTTCCAACAGGAACTTAATTAGAAAATGAATTACATATTAATATCAAATAAATCCCTTTTATTTGGCCGGTCCTAATATACAGGAAGTCCTCTCCATGCGTTTTGCTGTTAGTCCATCCATAGCTAGAAGGCCAAAGCCCAACACAAACACAAGCAGTGCTGCTCTTCTTCATCTAACCTGTATGGCAGAGGAGGGGGGGAGGGGCCGTGCGGCAGGGATGGGGGGCATTAGAGGGGCACAAAAGTGCATACAGTGATCTTCACATGCAGTGCTGGGTACATTTGACAGACAGGGCCCCCTGCTGGAACTGTGACACATTCAGCAAGGTCCCTGCTCATCCCTCCCAATCCCCGGACAGTGACAACAACTTAGCTCCCAACCTTCTAATCTGTGATGTAAGCACGCACACCGGAAGAAGATAGAGAGTAGAGTGGAGGTCACTGTACCCCTGTGTGTCCATGGATGGAGAGTAGGGCGGAGGTCACTGTACCCCTGTATGTCTATGGATGGAGAGTAGGGCGGAGGTCACTGTACCCCTGTATGTCTATGGATGGAGAGTAGGGCGGAGGTCACTGTACCCCTGTATGTCTATGGATGGAGAGTAGGGCGGAGGTCACTGTACCCCTGTATGTCTATGGATGGAGAGTAGGGCGGAGGTCACTGTACCCCTGTATGTCTATGGATGGAGAGTAGGGCGGAGGTCACTGTACCCCTGTATGTCTATGGATGGAGAGTAGGGCGGAGGTCACTGTACCCCTGTATGTCTATGGATGGAGAGTAGGGCGGAGGTCACTGTACCCCTGTATGTCTATGGATGGAGAGTAGGGCGGAGGTCACTGTACCCCTGTATGTCTATGGATGGAGAGTAGGGCGGAGGTCACTGTACCCCTGTATGTCTATGGATGGAGAGTAGGGCGGAGGTCACTGTACCCCTGTATGTCTATGGATGGAGAGTAGGGCGGAGGTCACTGTACCCCTGTATGTCTATGGATGGAGAGTAGGGCGGAGGTCACTGTACCCCTGTATGTCTATGGATGGAGAGTAGGGCGGAGGTCACTGTACCCCTGTATGTCTATGGATGGAGAGTAGGGCGGAGGTCACTGTACCCCTGTATGTCTATGGATGGAGAGTAGGGCGGAGGTCACTGTACCCCTGTATGTCTATGGATGGAGAGTAGGGCGGAGGTCACTGTACCCCTGTATGTCTATGGATGGAGAGTAGGGCGGAGGTCACTGTACCCCTGTATGTCTATGGATGGAGAGTAGGGCGGAGGTCACTGTACCCCTGTATGTCTATGGATGGAGAGTAGGGCGGAGGTCACTGTACCCCTGTATGTCTATGGATGGAGAGTAGGGCGGAGGTCACTGTACCCCTGTATGTCTATGGATGGAGAGTAGGGCGGAGGTCACTGTACCCCTGTATGTCTATGGATGGAGAGTAGGGCGGAGGTCACTGTACCCCTGTATGTCTATGGATGGAGAGTAGGGCGGAGGTCACTGTACCCCTGTATGTCTATGGATGGAGAGTAGGGCGGAGGTCACTGTACCCCTGTATGTCTATGGATGGAGAGTAGGGCGGAGGTCACTGTACCCCTGTATGTCTATGGATGGAGAGTAGGGCGGAGGTCACTGTACCCCTGTATGTCTATGGATGGAGAGTAGGGCGGAGGTCACTGTACCCCTGTATGTCTATGGATGGAGAGTAGGGCGGAGGTCACTGTACCCCTGTATGTCTATGGATGGAGAGTAGGGCGGAGGTCACTGTACCCCTGTATGTCTATGGATGGAGAGTAGGGCGGAGGTCACTGTACCCCTGTATGTCTATGGATGGAGAGTAGGGCGGAGGTCACTGTACCCCTGTATGTCTATGGATGGAGAGTAGGGCGGAGGTCACTGTACCCCTGTATGTCTATGGATGGAGAGTAGGGCGGAGGTCACTGTACCCCTGTATGTCTATGGATGGAGAGTAGGGCGGAGGTCACTGTACCCCTGTATGTCTATGGATGGAGAGTAGGGCGGAGGTCACTGTACCCCTGTATGTCTATGGATGGAGAGTAGGGCGGAGGTCACTGTACCCCTGTATGTCTATGGATGGAGAGTAGGGCGGAGGTCACTGTACCCCTGTATGTCTATGGATGGAGAGTAGGGCGGAGGTCACTGTACCCCTGTATGTCTATGGATGGAGAGTAGGGCGGAGGTCACTGTACCCCTGTATGTCTATGGATGGAGAGTAGGGCGGAGGTCACTGTACCCCTGTATGTCTATGGATGGAGAGTAGGGCGGAGGTCACTGTACCCCTGTATGTCTATGGATGGAGAGTAGGGCGGAGGTCACTGTACCCCTGTATGTCTATGGATGGAGAGTAGGGCGGAGGTCACTGTACCCCTGTATGTCTATGGATGGAGAGTAGGGCGGAGGTCACTGTACCCCTGTATGTCTATGGATGGAGAGTAGGGCGGAGGTCACTGTACCCCTGTATGTCTATGGATGGAGAGTAGGGCGGAGGTCACTGTACCCCTGTATGTCTATGGATGGAGAGTAGGGCGGAGGTCACTGTACCCCTGTATGTCTATGGATGGAGAGTAGGGCGGAGGTCACTGTACCCCTGTATGTCTATGGATGGAGAGTAGGGCGGAGGTCACTGTACCCCTGTATGTCTATGGATGGAGAGTAGGGCGGAGGTCACTGTACCCCTGTATGTCTATGGATGGAGAGTAGGGCGGAGGTCACTGTACCCCTGTATGTCTATGGATGGAGAGTAGGGCGGAGGTCACTGTACCCCTGTATGTCTATGGATGGAGAGTAGGGCGGAGGTCACTGTACCCCTGTATGTCTATGGATGGAGAGTAGGGCGGAGGTCACTGTACCCCTGTATGTCTATGGATGGAGAGTAGGGCGGAGGTCACTGTACCCCTGTATGTCTATGGATGGAGAGTAGGGCGGAGGTCACTGTACCCCTGTATGTCTATGGATGGAGAGTAGGGCGGAGGTCACTGTACCCCTGTATGTCTATGGATGGAGAGTAGGGCGGAGGTCACTGTACCCCTGTATGTCTATGGATGGAGAGTAGGGCGGAGGTCACTGTACCCCTGTATGTCTATGGATGGAGAGTAGGGCGGAGGTCACTGTACCCCTGTATGTCTATGGATGGAGAGTAGGGCGGAGGTCACTGTACCCCTGTATGTCTATGGATGGAGAGTAGGGCGGAGGTCACTGTACCCCTGTATGTCTATGGATGGAGAGTAGGGCGGAGGTCACTGTACCCCTGTGTGTCCCTGAATGAGAATAGGGAGGTTGATCAGTGTGCCCCTAATTATACCCAGCAGGGAGAGATGAAGTACTTTCTGACCACTGTCCCCTATGAGCCCATTTCTGATTGATTTGCTGCCTGTGCCGGTGACTCTAGGCGTGTCCTGATCTCTGTAGTCCACCCCCATCCGGCAGTCTGCATGCAGCATTGCTCCGAGGATACAATCTTATCCTATGATCTTAATGCAACCCCTTTGGGGCACCATGAAGCGGAATGTTCCAGAGGTTCCTTTGTGTCTCTAACCTGCGTCAGGTTAGAGACACAATGACACATTGCCGGGTCATTCCTGCCAAGTTCCCAGGGATGGTGCCATCCTACTAATGTCATACACTGTGGACTTTTACCCCACAGATCCGGGTGAGAAGCCTCCTGACCGCACCCTGGAGTATAAGATCGGAAACCTCAGTAACAGCATGAACTCCAGAGTGGCCCAACTGATTCAGGATGGTGAGTGTCTTGTAGATGGGATGATGGGAGTCATTGTGACTTGGAAATAACTTCTTCTTATCTCCTGTCCTACAGGGAGCAAGACGACAGAGAAGCTACAGCAGCTGAACGATGCTCTGAAAGCTCTGCAGGCAGACACGTCTATAAGTAATGTTCTGTTCTGAGTGGAGGGAGAGGGCAGTTGGGGTAGAACATCGGGGTAAAGCAGATGGATAATGATGAGTATGGAGGTTCCGGAGTGGCTACTAGAAGGATGATGGTAAAGGAGGTGGATGTCAGCAGCTGTGTGATAGGAAGAGAACAAGAGAAGGGTTAAAGTGAACCTGTCATAAACAACTGTAAGACTTTGCGCAGCTTTTGGTTGGATGCACCCGCAACATGCTCAGCTGAATTTAAACTGAACGTTCATTTGGGCATTTGGGGTTTCCGTCCAGAAAGGGACTAAGGGCTAGAAATCAGAAGGATGTGTGGGAATAATATGGCGGATATTTGTTGAAGAAGAAGGATTTGATGCTTGGCTGCAAAGCAGTGGGGCTGCCGAGGTATGGAGAATGGTTGGGATGAGCGCTGCACACAGGTGATATGGTAGGCTGGTGTACACGATCGAGTTGAGGGACTGAATGTGGATGAAACTCTCGGTCTATTGCTCCATGTTGGTGAATGGAGTGTTGGTGTGTTGGCAATGTTGAGCATGGTCAAAGTAAACCTTTCTTCCACTCTGGTTATCAAAACCTAAAAGTTCTGCCTTAGAGCAGTCACCGCAAGGTACCCACTACAGCCTTTCCAGCCCCCTCTGAGGTTCCTTCACTTGCTTTGGTGGCCACAATATAGGCCATGATCCTCCTCACCCGCTGGCCCCCTATCCAGTGATGGTGATATAGGTAAGAATGTGCGTAGCTGGTGTAAGTCAGAAGCATTTCTTATTGGTCGTTGTTGATGAATGTGGTGCTGGGTAAATGGCTGGGGATAGAATGAATGGGTGGAGTCATGTGATCATGGAAATGTACGACATTGGTTCAGTATAGGGATAAAATATGGAGGTTTTCTGGCGTGTTGGTGAATGTAGTGTGAGGGGAAAACAGGCGGAGAATTTCACGATGATGTTGTGTTAGTAAATATGATGTTCTTCAAGAGGGGGACTGGTGAATGTTGATGAATGTGGTGTTGGGTAATTGGTTGAGAACAGACTATTAGTAATGGTGGCTTGGGAGTGCCAGGGTAAAGTATTGAGTGCTGGCGTCATGTGATGTGGAGTATTCATGTGATATGGGGCGTTGGCATCATGTGATGTGAAGTATTCAAGTGATGTGGGGTGTTGGTATCATGTGACATGGGGTGTTGGCGTCATGTGATGTGGGGTGTTGGTGTATGAGGTGTAAGAAGGGTGATGGGGTGGAATCTCAGAGGGGTGTTGCGTGTTGGTGACGGGCAGCTTCGCATGTTGGCGAATATCTCTTCCCTCCTTTCTCTTCTATTACAGGCACCTTGCAGAGCAGTGTGAATCGGGCCCTCAACACCCTCCGTAGACTCTCGGATCAGGTGAAGAAGCTGCAAGTGAATGGTGAGCTTACAGAACCAAACTGGAGAATAAAAAGACCCAAACCGGGTGTGGTCACATATAGGTCATACAGACCATGTGGACATCTATTTTTTGGGGGAATGAAGTAAGGAATGGATACAACTCATGTTGGGCCGTGTCAGACACAGCAGCAAGTAGGGGGGAAACCTTTCGAAAGGGATGAAAGATCCCAAGTTAGACAGTTGTCACCAGAGCAGGCGTCTCCAATAAAAAGATGTATTCCTGTTGTGGTGACAACTGCTAACTATGACTTTCAGTCCAGTGACAACAGAGAGGGTCAATCTCCGGAGAGACGACACGCACAGCAACCTCAATCCATATACCCATTGCCCTCCTGACCGCTTATCCATCATAAGAATGGTTGGGTCCATCGGCAGTCGATGGATGGGCTACCATCCAGTAATACGAAAAAGTAGGGACACCGGCACTCCAAAGGTAGAAGTGCGTCTATTTATTGACATGCTCATTGCAATACACAGCAGCCTGGGACACGTGGACAGGACTCGTAGCGTTGTCACGTTCTTGGTTGGAGATACGTTTCCAATGTCTTGTCATGGACGGGGGACATCTTTTTACTTTGTTCTTGTCTGGCTCTTCTCCGCTTCTCTCTCCAGACATTCCTCCCGTTAGGCTGACATTGTCCTTTCCCTGTCTGTAGGATCCAACGACTTCACCTGCCCATCGGGATGGAGCACCTTCCAGTCCAGCTGTTACTTCGCTCCCTTTGCCGGGAAGTCGTGGAGCGCATCAAAGAAGTTCTGCGAGGATAAAGATTCCCATCTGGTTGTCATCAACACGGAGGAGGAGCAGGTTGGTGGTTGATGGTTGGGGAGGGCGGTTTGGTGGTTGGTGGTTGGGGAGTGCGGTTTGGTGGTTGGAGGTTGGTGAGGGCGGTTTGGTGGTTGGAGGTTGGTGAGGGCGGTTTGGTGGTTGGTGAGGGCGGTTTGGTGGGTTTTGGACTCTCGGCTGATGAGTGCAATTTTCACTCCCAGGAATTCACAAAGAATTTGATCAATCAGAAAGGACAGACATGACGGCTTGTGGTGCCTATGAGACGTCCATACAGATCCTCTGCTCATCCTTTCCATTTCCTGTGCTCAGGATCAGGGGCGTAACTAGAAATCACAGGGCCCCATAGCAAGATTTTGTATGGGGCCCACCGTGATTGCTAGTTATGCCACTTGCAGAGCCCACCGGAGAGTGACCCCGCAGAGCCCACCGGAGAGTGACCCCGCAGATGGCCCTCACGGCATCAGAGGGATGCCCTGGCCGGGCCCCCCCTGTGCCCGGGCCACATTGCTTGGCTTTTCTGTAGAATCTCTATTTTCACTTCAACATGTCAACGTTTATGGATGAGGAAAGAATTGTCAGCAACGTGCGGCGGACCCGGAAGAGGGAAGGGGATGGGAAGCTTCATCTCCTTTATAAATTGGTCACTAAGGGTGCCGAAGGCCGGCGAGAGAATAACCCAGGCGAAGGGAAGTGAGCCCAACGCTGTTCAGCTATTCACTTCTGGCTTGTATGGCTGATATCAGCCGTACATCGGCCCTGCATGAAGTGCAGAAGGACTTTGACTCAGCCGATCCAACATCTGGATCGGCTGAGCCGAAGCTCCGGCAGCTCACTGGCTCTCCCCTATTCACATATATTCTCATAGGGGGCCGAACGGCAGCGAGTGAATAGCCCAAGGCCACCGAGCGGCATTCGGCTCGGCTATCGTGCTCGGTACCTCTGTGCCTTAAAAAAAAATGTGTCACTTCCGCTCAGTTGAGCCGAAGCATATGCCTTCGGCTTGGCTGAGCTGCTCGGCCGCTGTACGGGCTATAGTGAATATTGTGAATAGCCTTAGGGTTTGACTGAACCGAAGGGCAGAGGCCGCCGAAGAGAGCCGAAGGATCAGCTGAAGTTACGACTGGATCCTTCATGAATAACCGCCATAGACTCCTGAGAGAGGGATGTAATCTGCCCAATGCAAAGCATTAGTAAGACCTCATCTGGAATCTGCAGCTCAGTGTTGGGCTCCGGTTGGATGTTGGGGAAGTGTAGAGAAGGACAACCAATCTGATCAGAGTTATGGAGGAGCTCAGCTACGAGGAGAGATTATCTGAACTGAATTTGTTCTCCCTGAGGAGAGGCGATGAGGGAGGACATGATCGCCGTGTATAACACATGGAAAGGCTTCTTTATAGTCAGAGCTGTACAATGTGGAATAGACTTGCCCAGGAGAGGGTTCTAGACATCTCCACAGATTGCTGAGGTGCTCAGAATATCACCGACTCTAAGAGATGAGATTGTAGATTGTTGAACTGTGGAGGATCAGGACCAGTCATGGTGGGAGATTTGGATCATTCCTTAGAACAGTTTCTGCCTTCCTCTGGATCAGGTTTCTGAAGTTGTTGGTTTTTTTTGGTTGATCTCGATGTCATTTTTCAGCCTGAATATGTAACTATGAAAGTTCATCAGAGTCCATGGGAGTACAAATGCGGCTTGAGGCCGGTCAATGGCGGGTCAGAAGGAGAGTAAATTGTGAATGATCTCGGAGTGTTTTCAGAAGAACCCTCACAGCCCAAAGCCATGGACCCGTCTTGAGGAGCCCTCTATGGGGAGCCGTCTGGATGGTCTTTTCCTGACCTGCAGCTTTATCATCTCTTTGGATGTATTTCCTTAATATATCCGACATATAAACCAGACTAGCCGGGATTCCCTAACCTTTCCCTGTTCGGGAGCCATGGATTCTATGCACCTCGAACGTTGGGGGTCTATATCCTCCACTGGAAGGACGCTGGACATTCAAAGGGGTCTGAAGGGGGGAAACTAGAGAATAAAAGAGATGGGAGGTCTCAGCTTAGGAGGAATGCTTCAAAAACTGGTCTGTAGAAAGCTCCCCATAGAGAGGACTGAATGGTAATGATGGTGTTTTGTAGGACTTCGTGTTTTCAATAATGAAGGGGAAGTACACGTGGATCGGACTGACGGACGTGTCTGGAGACTGGAAATGGGTGGATGGAACCGATTACAATTCTGCGCCAAAGTGAGTATGAAACACCCCCCCACCATCCCCCACATGAGCCCCACCTGACCCCTACATCACCCCCACATCACCTCTAGTATACCAGATCATGTGACTCATATCCACTGACTTCCATGGAAATAATAACATATTGCCTTCCATGACACTAAACCTTCTACAATGGATGTACCGTGTTTCCCCGAAAATAAGACACTGTCTTATATTTTTTGGGGCTCAAAAAAACACACTCGGTCTTATTTCCGGGGTAAAAATATGGTGATCAGGGCAATCAGGGGGCGCCGTACCTTTCAAGAGCAATTTGGTAACTAATCGCTGGCCGGAATGAGCGAAGCGCGCTTTCACTATGGATTTCTCACAGGCGGAGTGCATTTGTTATGACTCCGCCTGTGACAGGAGGCGGGGCTATAGAGGAGGGTTCGGCTTATGTGGCTCTGCTCCCGCCGGTGCCGCCTCTCTTCCTCTAGCGCTGGCTTCGTCGGCACTGCTGATTCTCTCCCGCGGCTCTTCAAGTTTCCCCTCATGCCACCACCGGCCCTGGGAATGGTCACAACTAGGTCTTATTTTCGGAGAAACATGGTATGTCCAATACAAGGGCCAACGGAAGGCACAAGTGGGCCCAGAACAATCGGCACTTTTAGGGCCCCGCCCCCTCTGATGTCACATTAGACAACAGGGAAGGCAAAATAGAAGCAGATTAAACTTCAGCTTCACAGCGGTGTCATAGTAATGGTCGATATTTGAAGGCTGGATGATGACAACCCACCCCCCCAGCCCCGCGCGCAGCCCGA